GCCCTTACATTCATATCATTGAATTCTTAAATATTTACATAAGCACCTTAATCTCTAAATTATATAAAAAATACCATCAACATTATCTTATCTAAAACAAAATATTATCACTCAATAATATGTATGTAAATCCCATTGCAGAAAAATATAAATATTTCTCAATTCTTCAATGATTTCGCAAATGCATACCATACAAAGATGCATCTATTTCTAGGAAGAAACATCCAAAGAATACAAAGAAACTGAAGCGTTAATATTAAACAGGCAAATTCATGCAGAACTTCGATGATCATTATTCAGTCAGGCTCGCCGTAAGGATGCCAACCTCTTCTCCAAATCATCAATCTCATCAGTTTCCGGTGCTACAGTTCTGCCATATGTGGATCTTTTCAGTAAAATCACAAAGAAAGCATTACGCTACACAAAAAGGTTAAGAATCATATCATAATATGGAATACATTTCCATTCATATAAAATGCGAGAATTTATTCTGTATGGAAATCGAACACAGAGAACTGCCTGGATTATCTCTATGAAAAGTAAAAGCACAATACACTGCACATTTATTGTTCACTACTGCGCTTTTATTGTTCATAGAGATAAAACCGAACAATTCTCTGCGTCTGGTCTCTGCACTTAATAATCTCTTATGAAATGCACGTATGCGCATCATTAATGCACAAAAATCTATAAAATTTGAAAACTTTTGAAATTCTAGTTGGGGAGTGTTTGCAGTACTAAACAAAAATTGCAATCTATACAAGGAATGGGATTTGATTGATTGTTATCGTGTTCAAGTTTATAAAATAGGAATATTACCTTGCAGCATTATCGACCTTCTTATTATTCACTGCAATGCGACCTTTAGGAGCAACTGACAGCTGAAGAAGGTAAAAAGCAAATAACTATATTCAGCTTACTCTCACTTTGATGAATATAAACCGTATGAAAACTCTTGTAAAACAGAATGGTACCTGTGATGCAATGTCCACGCCAATCTCATCCAGGACCTAAACATCATAAATCAGGATTAAATCAAATCAAAAGTATGCTATTTTAAAATAACATTTAAAAGCAAATAACCATTACTCTTCCAACTGTTTTCACAGGAAGAAAAGTTACTTCTGCGAATATCTTTAAAAATTACCTGGTTGGTTAGCTCCTCTGTTTCCTCTTC